ATGACGCCTACATCGTCGCCGCGCTCTGTACACGGCTAACCTTCCCGGAGACGTTAGGCCTTTACACCTACGTCTCCGACACCGAGGTGTGGAGCAGCAAACCAGCCTCATTCCCAGACGGCGGCAAACTGCCCCGAGCCGCCCTTCGATGTGACAAGGTTATCACCATCGGAGGAGAAGCCGGCACCATGGCCTGGGTCGATCTCATGCGGGGTATCATCCTATGTGATGTGCTCCCACTCGACGACGACGCCAAGACGCTTCGCTACATCCCTCTGCCGGACCCCATCCGGCCAGACGACACCATCGACGAATCTGGAGGCATGTACCGGGACGTCGCCGTCGTCGGCAGCCGCATCAAGTATGCTGAGGTGAAGATGCACGTCAGGCCGGGCTCGGCCGGCCCGAAAGGCTCCTTCACCATCGATGGCTGGACCGCCGTCGTATGGAGCAGGCCGGCCAATTCCTTCAAGGAGTCGACCACCTGGGGCAAGGACCATGAGGTCCATGCTCACCAGGTCTCTTTCGTTGACGGCAAAAACAAGACGGCGCCAGGCTTTGAGTTGCTCCCGGCTGTGGTGGATCACCAGGGCAACCCGCAGCCGACCTTGGTGGGGATCCACGTTGGCCATCCCAAGCTCAGCCTGAGCGTCGGTGACAACACCCTTTACTTGATGGCCAAGGTCAACCGCTGGTACGACAAAGCATGGGTGATCGCTGTCGACATGAAGAACAAGAGGCTGCGGGGAGTGGCCGAGTTTGGTGGAGCACCAAGGTGCTCGGCGTTTCTCCATGCCTATAGGCAAAGCAGGATCTCGGAGCATCTCAATGTCTCCCAAGGTAAAACTAAATCACTTGCCTTTATCTGTTCTACCATCACCTGCGTGCCTAGTTGTAGGTATTCAACCATCATCATGTGCGTGCATTGCATGCCTAGCTAGTTGTTGTCTGATTTAAGATAGTGCTGCCCAGCGGAATGCTGGTATGTATAATATATGATTTCAAAATAGGGATCAAAAGTTCCCTGTGCTGCTGCTGCTGCTGCTGTATAGTATAACAAAAGGAAGAACAACTTGACTTGAATTCGTTGGTAGGTCTCTAATGCATTTTGCAGTCCGTCAGGTTTAATTATCACTAGCAATAATGGTTTTCCATAGAAAGGAAAGTAAAATTTCTTCCATGGGGAACACTGTCGCTGGTCTTATAGATTTTACTGTGTGTTGCAGAGATGCGCGCTCATCGGTTGATGTTTCTTATTTTGTTTTGTGTGTGTTGGCACTGCCAAAGCGTTGGATTTTGTTTAATAACTAGTTTAACACGCGTATGTTCCAACTTGATGTGAGTGAACATGTCTTGAAACAGCAATCTACACCCCTTGTTCCTAAATGTAAGACGTTTTGAACTGCCAAAACGTCTTACATTTAGAAACAGAGGGTGTAGCAATTAGTTGTGATTGAAGCAACCAACAACCAATCTATAACCTGGGAACGGATTTTTTGCTCGTCAGGTACAAAGAGTCACCTGAAACGACCAGGGATGCCACTGCCACATGGAAGCTCTCACAAGAAGCCAGAGATCCCTCCACATCATGTGATGCATCACTGTCCCAGTGGACAAAACCCCAGGGCGACATGGCCCACATTTCCCGCACAGACTACTGATGATGAGGATTATGATGATGATGAACGGACAAGGATGGCAGACGACATGGACTTGGAATAACTTAACTTATGGTACCTAGCTAGCTTTTGTGTGCCGGCTGTCTCTTTTTACGTACCTCTTTAGTTAGTTAATACTCAGGATGGATGAATTGAAAACATTCAAAACTTTGCTCCTTCAATTCGGTCTTGTGCTGTTTAGCTGTTTTGTTTGTGGCCAGGCCACTCTGTCGTGTAGGTGCTGCTTTATTTACTTTGAAATAAGAGTATTGATTTCCAATTTCTTGTCTGT